GAGATTTGAGTTCTAGATTCAGCCGTACAGGTCACGTTAGGTGACTCCAGCTGACAGCTTATATGGCATTGACCTGATATTCCTGAGCACTTGCATTCTATTTAGAGACATGTGACATGGCATATGTCGGAGCATGATTTATATATATATATATATGTATATTCTATTTTTCTGGGAAGTATACAGGTTTTACGGCGAGGAGTTAGAATCTTGTTTATGAAATGGTTTTTAAAAAGCTTTGTTTTTGCCCACTCACACTTTTTGTTTTGCGTCCCTCCAGGTTTTAGTTGGCTAGCATTCTTGGTGGCTCCCCAGAGGATTTCCCCGGCATATCTGACAGATTATTACCAGTGTAGGATCACCTTCGGGTGTGCTTTTGTTGTGTCGTTTCCTCCCGGACTGCATTAGGTCTTCGTGCTCTGAACTTTATGTTCACACTTACGTTTGCACATGTTTGTTATTACTTTTGTGTAAAGCTAGATTTTATTTATTCGTACTATTTTTTTATTATTATTTTATTAACTTCCGCACTGTGCACATGGTTACGTCACTTCCACGTGATGACCAACATGCCCTGATCTCGATCGGAGTGTGTCAATTTGCCCTTGTTGAGTTGGACACTGAAAGCATCTTTGTTGAACTTCACAGAAAGTAACAACCTTATCTTTACGCTGTGAAACCTAAATGCCGAGAGAAGTTTCTTCTTTCTTCAGCCACAATTACTTGGATAAAAAGTTAGCAACGTGCCGAGAGACGTTTCTTCTTTCCTCCTTCTCGGAAACGTTGGTAAAAGATTTCGACCCAAAATAGATTTGGTGGTGATTCGTTTTCGCCAAGTTACAAGACAAAAATAAAAGAAGTTGTCGGTGCATTCGGTGAAAGCCCAGGAGAAGAAGAAGAAGACAAGCAAAGATTTGGTGGTGATTTGTTTTCGCCAAGTTACAAGACAAAAATAAAAAAAGTTGTCAGTGCATTCGAAAGCCCAAATTTCTACAAGTTTTTGAAGTTAAAAAACATTAAAAGCATCAGATTTCGGCCATGATCGTTTATTGGCCATTAAGATGAGTGGCGGAAGTATTAGTCAAAGAGGATTAGCCTGGGCTTTTGATGACCTTGTCTTTGAAGTTGAAAGCTGATTGGAGACAAAAATGTTGAATTTCCCTTACTAACACTAGAATTTAGAGACTCGTTTGATAACATTTTGGTTTTAATTTTTATTTTTGTTTTGAAAATAGAAGAGTAATACATAAGAGAAAGAATGGATATAAAAGAGTATAGGAAGAGTGGTCGCAATGATGTAAAAGAAATGTCTAACGAAAAGTATACAAAATCAAAATTAAAAATTAAAAATCAAAATTTATTTTGAGTCATTTTTACTTTCAATTTTTTTTTTTAGGGAAATGATTTTCACTCCTTTTAACCTCTCACACCTTCTCTTTATTTTTTACTATTAGATTAAATAAATCAAACAAAAATAACCTTCAAGATTAAGGGGAGTCTACGAAACTAAAAAGACTAAGAGCATCTCTAATGGGAGTCCCTATTTAGAGACTCTCATCACCTTTGAGTACTCATTTAATGACTTAAAGAGAATCTTTGTGTCCGTAAAAGAATATTGTCTCCAATAGGAGAGTCCTTATAGTAGAAGCCCTAAATTTGAGGTTTTTACAATTTATGTGATAATTTGATTAGGTGCACATTTTTTGAATTAATTTAACATTACGTTCTCGTAAAATATTTTTGTGATCATTAAACAAAAAAAATTCAAATTTTGACACAAATTTTTTTCCTCACGAAAACGTAACTAGAATGAGTGAATTCAGTACGAGTGAACTGAGTATAGGAGATGAAGTTGTGGTAAGTTTTGGTTAGATAATTTGGTATTTATAGGAATGATGAGAGAACAACATTACAGAGTAACCCAAATTGAAACTGTTAATCTTTCAACAGAGTCAATATGAAAAGAGAAAAAATAAAAATTGATAACAAACATTAGAGAGTAACCTAAATTGAAACGGTTATTTAATTAGAACCGTTGATTTTTCAATGGTAAAAAATTTGAAAAGCAAGAATCAATCTAGACCATCCATTTTAAACAATTGAAAAGAAAAATAAAAACACAAGACCATGTGACTGGGATCCACATCTACTTTTCCACTTAAATTGTACTATTGGGTCCACCATTTCAATTCCTATAGAGTCCCTATATTTGGGTACATACACCAAGTATCCTGCTAGTCCCTATACTTTAGGGACTCACTTTCCGATCAATTGAAGATTCATTTTGTCCCTATATTTGTTTTATACTCATTTTATACGGTGGTTGTCTCTATATAAGGACTCCATTGAAGATGCTCTAAAAACAAACTAATTATTAAAAAAGCTCAATTGGATTAATAGTCTATGTGATGATAGTGTCACATCCCAGCCCGGGGGGAACCACTTCCCGGGCCCACTCCACCACCATAGCACGATATTGTCCGCTTTGGGCTTACCATTCCCTCACGGTTTTGTTTTTGGGAACTCACGAGCAACTTCCCAGTGGGTCACCCATCATGGGATTGCTCTAGCCCCCTTCTCGCTTAACTTCGGAGTTCCTATGGAACCCGAAGTCAGTGAGCTCCCAAAAGGCCTCGTGCTAGGTAAGGATGGGAATATACATTTAAGGATCACTCCCCTGGGCGATGTGGGATGTTACAATCCACCCCCCTTAGGGGCCCGACGTCCTCGTCGGCACACACGCGACCAGGGTTAGGCTCTGATACCAAATTGTCACATCCCGGCCCGAGGCGGATCACTTCCCGGGCCCGCTCCACCACCGTAGCACGATATTGTCCGCTTTGGGCCCCGACCACGCCCTCACGGTTTTGTTTTTAGGAACTCACAAGCAACTTCCCAGTGGGTCACCCATCATGGGATTGCTCTAGCCCCTTTCTCGCTTAACTTCAGAGTTCCTACGGAACCTGAAGCCAGTGAGCTCCCAAAAGGCCTCGTGCTAGGTAAGGATGGGAATATACATTTAAGGATCACTCCCCTGGGCGATGTGGGATGTTACAATCCACCCCCCTTAGGGGCCCGACGTCCTCGTCGGCACACACGCGACCAGGGTTAGGCTCTGATACCAAAATGTCACATCCCGGCCCGGGGGGAACCACTTCCCGGGCCCACTCCACCACCATAGCACAATATTGTCCGCTTTGGGCTTACCATTCCCTCACGGTTTTGTTTTTGGGAACTCACGAGCAACTTCCCGATGGGTCACCCATCCTGGGAGTGCTCTAGCCCTCTTCTCGCTTAACTTCAGAGTTCCTACGGAACCTGAAGCCAGTGAGCTCCCAAAAGGCCTCGTGCTAGGTAAGGATGGGAATATACATTTAAGGATCACTCCCCTGGGCGATGTGGGATGTTACAATCCACCCCCCTTAGGGGCCCGACGTCCTCGTCGGCACACACGCGACCAGGGTTAAGCTCTGATACCAAATGTCACATCCCGGCCCGGGGGGAACCACTTCCCGGGCCCACTCCACCACCATAGCACGATATTGTCCGCTTTGGGCTTACCATTCCCTCACGGTTTTGTTTTTGGGAACTCACGAGCAACTTCCCGATGGGTCACCCATCTTGGGAGTGCTCTAGCCCTCTTCTCGCTTAACTTCAGAGTTCCTACGAAACCTGAAGCCAGTGAGCTCCCAAAAGGCCTTGTGCTAGGTAAGGATGGAAATATACATTTAAGGATCACTCCCCTGAGCGATGTGGGATGTTACAGATAGGGCAGTTGGAAGATAGCCCATGTGATAATAAAAACTTAGGATTTAAAGCCCGTATGGTTAAGTCTGTTAGGATTTAAGCCCAAAATTGAAAATTTCGTCAACTCTTTATTAATTGTTAGCATATGAAGCTCACATGTGAGACAAAAAAGATAAAGTTAACCACATATGTAAGCTAACATGCTAACAATTAACAAAGATTTTCCATTTAGCTTAATATGTGTGGCTTACATAATAATAATTAAAGAAGAGTTGACAAAATTTTTAATTTTTAGACATAAATCCTAACAAACTTTATCAGAAGAACTTAAATCCTTAATTTTTTTTCCCACATAGACTATCTTTCAATCATCTCATTTACAATATGAAAAAGAGACCGCTGGGTTCCTTTTGGTAATGAAAACAACTGTGTTTCTAGATCACAATGGAAGAGAAGTCAAATAAAAAACGATGAGCTAAAGCCTAAACTCATCATGCATCTGAATCCTTGGAAACATAATAAAAAGAAGAAAATAAAATCTGGTGGACAACGTTTAGTATTATACATCTCTCGCAGAAAGAGACATTGCGATGGCATTTTATTTGTCCGTTTTAATCATCTCTCGCTAAGAAAGGAAAGAACAAAAGGAAGAAAAGCTAAGCCGCTCTCTGCATCTTCCACACACTATTTTACATTATCTATATCCACTTGCATTTTCTTCTTTTTCACAACCCAATAAAACAAAAGTCCCAATTCATCAGCGGATCTGAATAAAATGAGTACTTCCAAGTATCATAAAACAAGTCGAGGAACACAAGAAGATGTATCATTTTTTCTGCTCGTATTATGACACGTAAAACACCATGCGAGTATCCGATATTTGAAAAAAAGGGTTTATGAATTTCATCAATAGCTAATTAGCTACTGCTTGCTTTGGTAGATACTAGGAAGCCATTATTCAGGTTCCAGATCCAACAACCCTCATGAAACGAAGGTTCGATGCAGAAATCGGAATGAGCGGCAAACTTGTATAATACGGTACACCACTTTCGTTATCGTGGCTTTTCATGCCAAATAGTCAACACGTGTTAATTCTCCTTTACTCATAAGCATGAGATGTCACGTTGGCGGCGTACCCGCCCGGCCGGCCGTGAAAGGTTTTTCGTATTTGAGATACCCATTAGCCATTAGCCGTTGGTGGGAAGAAAAAAAAGAACAAGGTGAGGAGAAGGTGAGAAAATAGAGAGGAAAAGGACGAAAAACCAGAGTAATCATTTGAACAGATAGATAATTAGACAGAATGCTCTGTCGGCGGCGTTATATTCAGCAATCAAATTTGCCAAATACAAACGACTGAGGACGCAAAAAGAAAAAATCTTGTAAAATATCCCTACTGGTTTCTGCTACCGTACCAACTCTCAAGCAAGTGCCAAAAAACTGCATGCATGTATACCATTATCAGCAATAACGCATTTCCTAGGCTTATTCTAATCCTAACCACCTATCCCATCATCCATCCATCCATCCATCCAACCTACCAAAGTAGCTGTTAGGGTAAGGACCGCTCTCCAAACGGAAGAGCCCCGCTTTCAATGAGATTTTATACCCATGGAAGTGGTGGAATCAACTGAAAGCGCTCGCTACAAGTATCGCTGGATTATAAGGAATGATCACTTCCATGTATTTTCTTCTTTTGATGGCCCAAGCTGAAACAAACAAACAACACATCAGTAAAACTTCACCGTTGCTCAACAACTTCCTGTATTAGAATAAGAGCATCTCACTAGACAGCCGACAAATTCAAACTACTTTATTAAAGCAAACAAAACGAATATTCTTACTAGAAAGCAAAACCAAAGCCACCACTTTGGATGATTAAAACATATTCCCATCAAATTAAATGAACGTGACAATGAAGAAGTATAGGACCAAATTCAAAGGCAGTCTGCACTACAGACACTGCAACAAAGCAAAGGGCACAAGACTAGTGATCTCAGCAAGGAGCTCAGTAACCCATTATAGCAAACACCAACACCGAAAGCTTAATCAATTTTGAGGACAGCTGATGCTGATCGAACCAAATTAAATGCCACCTTTCAACAGTACAGAAAGGATGCAGAACAATAATAATGACCATCTTACTAGAAACGCATCCTTTAAGATGTTATCCAGCGCTACCTTAAGGAAGTCTCACCAGTTGTCCCCAGCAATTTCCAAACAAAACCTGGAAAGAACACCAAGAGAATAAAAAACAGTCAAATATATATACATAAATGGTAATCAGATTGAGAGCCCACGGAAAACAAATAAAACGGAAAATGGACCAGAAGACTCTAAACGCCAGTTTGAACCGAACAATAGTAAAATGAGGAGGAAGTGTCGCACCACGGTCTCATCTCTTGGACAGCTTTGAAATGGGCAGAGACACTATTGAACATGCGAGCATATGCATTACACCCCTCGCGCAATGGAAATGGTAAACAAAAGAAAGAAAAGAAAATTAAAAGGGGTCCAAAATTGCGCAAAGCAAGTACAATCCACAAACATTTAATCCGAGGGTATGACTTCCTAGATGACATGTGTAAATGAAGCTTATCTAGTATTCAAGAAAAGACTAATGAAATTTCACTTGTGGCTAATAAAGTAGGCTTATAGTACAAGTTGAACATTTAAGGCATGTTCAACACAATCAGTTAACCATAACCATGACATATGGACCTCATTAGACAACCGAGAAACATTTTGCAAGGAACAAGAAATCAAATTAACTTCGGCAAAAGCAGATAACAGAATGCCTACAGTAAGTTGGGGTTGAGTTCTCACACTTATAAAACTTGATATCTGCCTTGCTGAGCTCCACCAGGAAGCGATACTGCCTGATTTGAGATATCTTCCAAAACACGTTTTAATTCTGTCTTAGCTCTCTTGACAGATTGTTCAGTAGGGCCCTCGATAAACAGGTAGAGCTTGCGATCTCCTGGTCCTGTAACCTTGCCTGGTGGGAAATACTGACCCCTGGTAGTAATGGCAGCCCCAGTCCACTCTGATATAGGGCCCAAAGTTTCCTTGTGGGTAACCTTCCATCGAGCATTCTGGGGAAAATCATTTATCTCCAATTCTGCTTCATAGTGTTCAGGCATTGCATCAGCTTGAATCTTTGCCAAGTTATGCTGCAAGTTCATTGCAGCTGCAATTGCTGCTGCCCGAGCAGCCCCATCATTGCCCACAAGAGGCAGACCAGTCCCAGCCGCAACTGCTGCTGTTCCTGGCAACGCTAGACCAAGGACACCTGGAAGAGAAACAGGCAGTCCACTGCTTGGAAGTAGTTGGGCAGCAGAGGCAGGGGTCTGCATTGAAGCTGTACTAGCTTTGGAGGCAGCAGCAATGGCAGCTATCTGAGCAAGGGCAGCCTGCTGTGAGATGTCGCCCCCTGCCTTTCGAATACCATCATCTTCATCTTCTGAATCTGACTTGTCCTCCTCAAAACCATATTCCTTGGCCTGTGCTTTCTTTGCTGCTCTCCTCACTTCATCTTCCTCTTCATTAAATTTGAAACCACTTCCCCCATAACCAGTCCCATGAGCTTGCTCAAGTCCCTGATTTACTTTTGCCGTGAAATTATCAGCAAGAGACTTTAGGTCATCTGGAACAACTTGCTCAGAGAGTTCCAACGCTTTGACAAGATCCGGAGCATATCTAGCATCTTCCCCAGAGATAAAAGTTATAGCACAACCTTTCCGGCCAGCTCGCCCTGTTCGGCCAACACGGTGAACATAGTCTTCATAGTGATTCGGACTATCATAATTGATTACCAGTTCAAGCTCCTTCACATCTAACCCTCTGGCAGCAACACTTGTTGCAACCAACAAATTACAAACATTGCTCTTAAAGTCAGTTATCGTGGACTCACGATCTGTCTGATCTTTGCCCCCATGAAGTGAGAGACAAGGATACCCATGCCTAAGCAGATCCCTGAACAACGCATCGCATTTGTTCTGCGACTCAACAAATATCAAAATTTTTCCTTTCTCATACCATTCCCCAAGCAACTCTAACAATCTCAAGAACCTTTCATTTTCCATCCTCACTTCAACTAATTGTGTTATGTCCTTATTCACAACACTCCTTCCACCAACTTGTATTTCCACAGGTCTGTTTAAGACTTTGCGTGCCAAGACTTCAACCTGGCGAGGGAAGGTGGCAGAAAACAAAACAGTTTGACGATCAGGCCGGATATTTTGTACAATTCGGGTGATCTGTGGTTCAAAGCCCATGTCAAACATTCGATCAGCTTCATCCACAACCAAATAAGTAACTCTACGCAGATTTGTTATTTTCCCCCCACTTGTGCACAGTATGTCAATCATCCTACCAGGGGTACAGACGACAATTTCGGCCCCCCGCTTCAATTCACTAATCTGTTGGGCAACACCAGAACCTCCGTATACAGGCACACACCTGAGACCAAGTACCTTTGTAAACTTTTTAATATCACTGTGAATTTGCTGAACAAGCTCCCTCGTTGGTGCCATTATAAGCCCAATAGGCCCATCTCCAGCTACCACAGGTGGCTGGTCCTTGATATGCCTCAGCATTGGCAGCACAAATGCAAGGGTTTTGCCTGACCCAGTCTTTGCAATGCCAATGCAGTCTCGACCACTCATAATTATAGGCACTGCCTGAGCCTGAATTGGCATTGGCTTTTCATAGTTAAGCTTTTTTATTGTTTCCAAGATTTTACTTGTAAGTCCAGTTTGGTGCCAGGTCTTGATGGGCTTGGGCACATCTTTACCATGGATCTTCAATTCCAATTGTTTCCGATACACCCCCACCTCTTCTGGGGTCATTCTTGAGATCTCCTTCACTTCAATATAGAAATTTTTACGAAATGGATCATAATCTATCTTTGAGTGATCAACTACAGCAAGCTTCTCAGCTTTTGTCTTTTTCACCCTTTTTATGAACTCATCATCACCTTCATCTTCTACTGGATCATCATCATTCTCCAAGTCCCCATAATCTGAGTCAGAATCCTCCCCAGGAATTATTCTGCCCATAGATTTATTTGAACCTCTCCTTGGTTGTTCACCATTGTTTCGACCATCCTTCTTATCCTTGTTCTTTTCATCAACAATTGACGGTTCAACTGCATTGGTCAGCTTCTCAACTTCAGGCAATACCATAGAATTCATAAAAGCATCTAAAGGATCAACTTCCTCATCATCAGCAGCATCATCAGCCCCATTGTGCAACGCGGGTGCAGCTGTTTCATCTTCAGAAACTACCGCCACAGCATCTCCAACTTTTCTGTCAGTATCGTCTTCTTCATCAACATCTATACATGTCTCTGATTTCTCTAAGGAAGGTACTTCTTCATCATCAGATTCTTCTTCAAGAGTCCAGGCCTTTCCTGACTTAGGTTCATCAGCATCCCCTTCCCCATTCTTCTCTCTCTCAGTTTCTTCCTTCTTTCTTTTTAACTCTTGCCACTCCTGAACTCTCCTTCTCCGCTTTTCCATTTCATCATCCAATTTCCGTTGTTCATCCTCCATCTCCTCCTCACGGGTTGGTTGTTCTTCCTTAGAGGAATCACCTTCATCAGACTTCTTTCTGGGGCTCCCATCTCCATCATCCCTATGTCTGTTTGACCTGCTGCTACTCCTTTCCCTCTCTCTCTCCTTGTAGTCATTGTTATCTTTCCTAGGTCGCTTCCTATCACGCTCCCTACCATCATCATCAATATCATCAGCATCAATGTCCCTACGCCTCTCCCTCTCCCGCACCCTCCGCTCCCGATCTCTATCTTTTTCCCTCTCCCTCTCTCGCTCCCTCTTATCTTCTACCTCTCTTTCTCGTTCCCTTCTCTCCCTCTCTCTTTCTCGTTCTTTTTCTTTTTCTCTTTCTCTTTCTCTTTCTCTTTCATGTTCTTTTTCTTTTTCTCTCTCCTTTTCTCTTTGTCGTTCTTTTTCCCTTTCTCTTTCTTTTTCTCTTTGCCTTTCTTTTTCCCTTTCCTTTTCCTTCTCTCTAGTCCTATCTCTCTTCTCCTTTTCTTTGTCTTTGTCCCTCTCCTTATCTTTATCCCTCTTTTTGTCTCTTGTTCTCTCTCTTTCATCATCTCGGTTGCGCTTCCTATCACTATCCCTGTCTCCATGCTTCTCCCTATCGTACCTCTCCTCAGAATCAGAACTCTTTTCTCTCTCATAGCGCCGACTATCACGGTCTCTCTTATCTTTATCCCTGTGCCTCTCTCCATTTCTCTCCTTTTCACGATCCCGATCTCGATGACTCCTCTTGGATTCCCCCTCCTTCCTAGGTTTATGTTTGACCTCTTCCATTGCTCCCTTCTGTGCCATTCACAAACACAAAAATCAATTCTCATTCTGAATATATAACGAATGAGCAAACATAAAAAGAAAAGGCCATCCATCACGCTACTTCCATAAAAAGGACGCATAAACATACCATGGATTATGATTATTTTCGATGTCTTTTCAAACTTATGCCTATAAATTATCAAAGCTTATATTTGCTATACCAATAACATACCTCATTCATAACCCAATGCAGCAAGAATATGGAAACGATAAATCAAAGAAAACAGACATTTCTGTCTCATCAGAAAGAACAAACAGAGCAACATATATATCAGTGAAGCAACAGTGGTCTTTTCTTATCTTAAATCTGAAAGGAACTTAACCCTCTTTGTAGCGATATATATGTTCTTTTTGTTTGGGGAGGGGAAGGAGGTTCTTAAATCTTAACGTAAGTAATCAAAGAAGAATATAGAGAGAATCTTGAAAGCGCTGAAAGGATAAAACTAATCTAACTAAATTATAACTAGTCTATAGTGAACAAAACTAATCTAACTAAATTATAACTAGTCTATAGTTAAAGTTTGTTCCGATACAATTAGTTAGATTATGATTAGCCCTCTGGAACAGAATCCTATTAGTTTAGACCATGGCTGCATCACAAATAACTAATACCAGTCTCTTGCATAACAGTTACGTTTTAGGTAGTTTAAAAAGGCAACTAAAACAGATACAGTAATTGTGATGGCGTGCAAGATAGATAACTGTTATGCCAAGATACTGGTATTAGTTATTTGTGATGGAGCCATGGTCTGACCCAAAAGCATTCAGTTTCTACTCCAACCTACCTACGTTCTTGTATAATGTCTTAGGACTGGGTTAGTTCAACATGGATGCCCAGAAATCCAATATATGAAACGGCAACGTCATGGTCAGAAATTCAACATAAAACCAACATGCATGCTCAGAAATCTAACCAATCCGATTGCAGAAATCAAACATGCATGCAGAAATTCAAATGATTCAAATTGAGAAATCCAAATCCAGAAACAACCAAAATTCCTGAAACCCCAATTTTCACAAAAATCAACCATAGAAAGTAATTCGAAAGAAAACCCTAAAATTCGAAAACAATTGGAACCAAATACCTTGGGCTAGAGAGTCGCTCGATCGAAAGAAAGAGAATCGGAGAGAGATATAGCGGTAGGTGTGTGTGTGGTTTTTCTGTGGTGTGGTCGAGAGGTGTGGTGCTGGCCACAGTCGAGATTCGGAGAAGGTGGGCGGAGGAGAAGAGGAATCGAGAGAGCTGAGAAGGTTCGAGTCGAGAAGAGAGGTAGGACGCGGAGTCTCAAAATGAGTGAGGACTGAGGGACTGAATTAGATTGGACGGTTTAGATTAAAACTCACACAATTGGACGGTCCATATAATTCCTAAGCTTTATTTTAAAATTAAATATATATAATTGGATAGAATTCACTTTTCTCTACCTTTAGATCTAGTTTTTTTTTTTTTGGTTGTTAAATTAGATATAAAATTAGAGAGTCAACAAATTTGAACCCACATCACACTGCAAAGACAACACTGTCTTTGACCACTATGGTAGAGTGTCACTTATCTAACAGTTCCTAAGTAAGGAAAATAATCATCGCCGAATCATTTTTCTAGGGATCTAGGGAATCTCGTGATTGTGACCGTTCATCGTATATCGTGCGATCAGTTTTTGTTAGATACTATTTATATTTAAGTTTAAATTTAAAATTTAAAATTTAAAATGATTTCTAACTACACAATGTATGATGTATGATGAGTAATTCCCCAGAAAAAAGAATCCAACGAGAATCCTTTTCCCCTAAGTAAAACTCAAATTGTTCCCGTGCATCATGAAAATAAATAAATAAAGAATTCAAGTAATTTTATTTTCATAAAAAATAAAATCGTGCAAAGTGTACAAACTTAAATCCTTCTTCTTTGTCTTATCTTTCAATCTAAGATGTTACCATCACTTCCCACTATGTTTTTCTCTCATGCCTTTGTTTATTCATAGCTTGATATTTTGGTGTTTTAAGAGCATCCTTTTACGTAGCTGAAAAAGTAGTAGATGTAGCTTATTTTGGAACTTTAATAAATTTTTGGGGCTTTAAAAGAGAATCTTTCAATGAGGGGTTATTTATTTTCGGGTTTTTTGAGGAATCTCCAATGAGGGCCTATTTTTCGGGTTATGTATAAGACTATATATATTTGTTTATGTAATAACTTGATTGCATGATAATTTTTATTTTTGTGTTACTTTTTCTTAGATTGATTTTTGCATGTGTTATCTCATAAAAAATAAAAAAAATTATGAACATTTCAACCTAAAAAGTTTCAAAATTTGATAAAGTTAGATTGCTTCAATTATGAACCATTGGATTAAGTTATATTATCTCAATCTCATATTTTGGTTTGTTTATCTGAATTTTGACAAGATAAGATTTTGTTTCATAACTAAATTATAATGCCCTTGCAATTTAGGTATGTTGTTTACTTATGTTTTCAGTTAGTTTCTAAATTTCCAATGTCATTGTAATAGGTAGTGTGTTTTTATTTGGAAATTAATAAAAGTAAGCCATTTAGTAAAACATATTATATCATTTTATTTCTTAAGTATTTTTGAGAAAGTACGATATTCATTAATTCAAAGAAAAGAATACATGTACATGTCCGAGGATAGGGTGCACAACAGTGGGCCTCGATAAAAATCTTGCAGGGGATTTCAACCTAGTCGAAGGGAAAAAGGGCGTCCCACACCAAAAAAATTAAATAGAGTTAGCATCCTCGACTAAAAGATCACGGATTACATCAGGGGGTTCTTAAAACCATGAAGCTGGTTGAGGCAAAAGATAAACCACATCACGCCAGCCGATGAGCCACCTTGTTTGTAACATCCCACATAGCCCAGGGAAGTGATCCTTATATGTATATTCGCATCTCTATCTAGCACGAGGCCTTTTGAGAGCTCACTTGCTTCGGGTTCCATTTGAACTCCGAAGTTAAGCGAGTAGCGCTAGAGCAATCCCATGATGGGTGACCCACTGGGAAGTTGCTCGTGAGTTCCCAAAAACAAAACCGTGAGAGAATGGTAAGCCCAAAGCGGACAATATCGTGCTACAGTGGTGGAGCGGGCCTGGGAAGTGATCTGTCCCGGGGCGGGATGTGACATTTGGTATCAGAGCCTAACCTTGGCTGCGTGTGTGTCGACGAAAACGTCGGGCCCCTGAGGGGGGTGGATTGTAACATCCCACATCGCCCAGGGGAGTGATCCTTATATGTATATTCCCATCTCTATCTAGCACGAGGCCTTTTGGGAGCTCATTGGCTTTGGGTTCCATCGGAACTCCAAAGTTAAGCGAATACCGGGCTAGAGCAATCCCATGATGGGTGACCCACTGGGAAGTTGGTCGTGAGTTCCCAAAAACAAAACTGTGAGGGAATGGTAAGCCCAAAGCGGACAATATCGTGCTACAGTGATAGAGCGGGCCCAAGAAGTGATCTGCCACGGGCGGGGATGTGACATTGTTGGCTTCTTTACAACGCGAGAACACTTAGTCCGACGGAAGAAAAATATGTAAAAAAAAAAAAAATTGAAAAAAAGAATAAAAGGCGAGTATAACACTCTGTTTGGATGAGAAAATTTAAGGTTACGACGAAATTTTATTTCCAAGAATTTGCGAATTTTATTGTTTGGATAACCTAAAAGAACAATGGAATTTGAAACTGGAAGTTGTTACTTTTAAACCCTCACTCATAGAAATTTGGAAATGACATCTATTTACATAGAATTTAAACTTGAAAATTGGAGGTCTCAAATTCTAAGTTTTTTTCTATAAGGAAATTCTAAATTTCTGTGTTTATGAATCCAAACAAGGGAATTAATGCATGTTAATTTATAAAGTCTGACTTTTTTCAAAATTCCAAGTTTATTTTCTTCATCCAAACATAGTGTAAATGTATTCGCAAGTGAGTGGAGAGTGATAGAATTTAACTCACTTGGGCTACTACTTTTCTTGTGGGACCCACTGCTTTTTAGGCTAAATGTGGCCTAATTTTTTGCTAGCCCAAGAAAGAAAGCTATTAGCCCAAGTAGTGGATCTAACCATTTTCCGGCTCATTAGAGATGGAAATTCTCACTAAGGCTTCAAATGTTGTAGTCTCATGAAGGATGAAGCCCCTATTAGGGATGCTCTAAGTGTAGAGGAACTACACCAATCCGTCACGAATTTAGAAACCCTCTCAACCATGGATGATATTTGATTAATTATATACGCAGTGAAACTACTATTTTTCTGTATAACAAAAACATAAGAGTAGGAAATAATTATAAAAATACACAACAAACAAAATTCTGACGTGTTCACTATGCTCTACTTTGATTCGATTATAAATTTTTTTTAGGCATGCAAAGAATATCAAGCTGTCACTCTATCTCTTAAATCCTTTGTTAAGTAAACAAAATTAAACTCTAGATCCTCAGTCTTCACTTAGTATCTTTAGGTGATGGATTAGGTTATGGTAAAACTTTTTTCTTTTTGGGTCAAAAGTTATGGTAAAAGTTTGCTATCCTAAATTTTACATTGTTTTAAGTTGTAAATATCACTTTTTATTTATTTATCTAATTGTCATGAAGAATTAAACCAAATTTTGTTGTCTGGGTAACCACGAACGAAATGGAGGTCTTCCTCTCCCTCTCCCCCTCCCACGTTTTGCATTATTTATTTATGATTATTCATTCATGTCATTTATTGATTGAAATCATTCACATTACTTTTAATTAGGACCATTGGATGTCAATCTAAAGGTTTAAGAAGTTGTAGAATTATTTGTCAAAATCTGTCTCCTTATCTTATCTTATATATAATATATCGAGGAATGTTAGGAGACTTTCTTAAAAATGAAACTCTTCGTAGACTCTTTGTCACCTCATAATTTAACGTCAATTCTCCTGTCAAAATTATAAAATATTGTGTCAAAAGCATGAGGTGACAGACAGTTCCATTTTAAGAGAGTCCTCTTAGCATTTATCTAGTATATATTTTGGTTCAGTTCGATCCTACCAAATGAATGCATATATGATTCTGAATCATGAATCATGTACTGAGTGTTCGAGATCGGTTTGGTTTTGGTTAGTGAACATTTCAATAGTTTCGGTTTCATCCTTTTTTGGTTCGATTTTCGGTTGCTCCCCAACACCTTCATTTTCGATCCCAAAAAATTTGAGGACCATCTAAGGAGTTGATATTGTTGTATATTTTGGAAAATTTTTGATACTTTGCTTTATATTTTGATTGTAGGACATGTGAGTCCACTTTGCTCAAAAAGTGGTGAAATGAAGAAATTTTGGAGTATTTCCAATTGAGTGGATTCAAGAGTCTTCCAAGATGGTCACTCAGTACTACGGTCTGATGATACTTCTCTTCACATGGAAGTGAGAGGTCTTAAGTTCGTATCTCATGGACGGCGAATTGATACCAAATTAGGTTGCCCATTGTGTGGCTTAGCCGAAGTTCCCCTCTCCTTAATGTAAAATATATCATTGTACTAAAAAAAAAAAAAAAAAAAAAAAGAGTCTTCCAAGATGATTGTGTAAAATACCAATCATTAATTCTTAACCGTTTGACCGTGACAAATAAAAGAAGGTTGGTCGCGCAACAATGACATATTGACGTTTTCGGCTTGTTTGCGCCAAAACTAATTAATTATGACGTTGTTTTTAAGAAAGTTCCTTCTTCAAAATCATAGGGAACGTTTTTATCTTTCCAACGCCAACCTCGTATGCTTGATTAAGCGCATATTTGAATGGTAAACGGATTGATTCTTTGGCTAACCAGTTTCTCTAAGTTAGAATAAGAATGTGTCTAGTTTATTTTTTTTATTAGGTTTTCTAGACTTGTTGGGAGTCTTATTTAAGGTAGGATACAGATTTTTAGGTCTGTTTATATGTTGATTTTTTTAGCATTTAGGAGGGAGAATGTTTTTAGACTCGGAGATCTCTAATTAGGAGATTTTGACGATTTGTTACAAGGATGTTTTCTATATTTTCTCATAACTAATTCTAATTCTCCCTTGCTAGGGTGAGGCTACGAACCTTAACATGAATATGTAGTTTTTTTTTTTTTTGTTTTTTTTTTCAATTTATTTATAATGTTATGCATGCTTGCTTTAAATTTTCAGTCACCACTTTTAAACTATCTATATATCTTGATGTTTGATCACGATTAAAATGTTTATATAAGTAATCAGATGCAATTTATGTTGGATGTCACATTGAAATTGGTTAATGCTTATTGTGGTTGGAAATTATAAGTTTACTTGAGGCAAATGTTAC